GAAACGTACAGTGGTGGACCGCCAAGCATCCAGATGGTGTGGATGGTGTCGGGACGTTTGCCGCGTAGTGCGGTCACGAAATTTGGCGGCTGGGATTAATCCGAACAATTCCTCAGAGCACTCTCCATGGTATATGCGAAAGAAAATGCAAAGAGATGCAACATATCTTCGCAGCGCCAGTGAATCGAGCCAATCGGAAAGCACACGGTCGTCGACAATTCGAGCCGCTATGCGGTGGATGCGGTCAAGTGGAAGAAGATGGTACTGGGGAGCCCCAGCCCAGAGATGGGGACAGTATTCCCTGTGCGGCCGAACCTGCGCCTTATAAAGTTGCAGGCGGTGTGCCGGCATGAAATTCCCGCTCTGCTGAGCACGCCAAGCTTTTTAGAGGCCAATTTGGCCTTCTCTTCCAGGTGACCACGAAACTGCACGTCACTCGATATGTCGACGCCGAGGATTCCGATACTGGCTAAGGCAACAAGGGGAGTGCCTTGAAACTGAGGAGATACGACAAAGGGGTTCTTTTTAGCGGTTAACGCGCAAACTTGTGTCTTCTGGGGGTTAAACTGGACTAGATTTAGTCGCCCCCAATCCGAGACTCAGTGTTCAGCAAAGACTCGACTTCAGACACAATTCCCTACTCACGTTTTCCCGAGAAATATTGGCACGGCCGGTGTACAGAGCATCACCAGTGCAGTCATCTGCATAGCAATGAATGTTTACGGGTTTGCAACATATCATTGATATGCAGAAGAAACAGCGTTGGCGATAGCACGCAGCCTTGTGGAACACCAGCATTAATAGGCTTGTAATCGGAGCTTGCACCGTCAACAGCGACCTTGATGCTCCGATCTGCAAGAAAGCTGGTGATCCAATCGCACAATTTGCAAATAGCCCATAGGTAGGCAGCTTCGAAAGAAGCGCTTTGTGCCAAACCCGACCGAAGGCCTACGCAATGTCCAAACTAACGGCCAATGCGGGAGGCATTGGCCGTTATTTTGGACCTTGGACTCTACTGCTTCCGCCCATCTGTGAGTTAGGTAGACTAGAAGATCACTAGCTAACCGACCACGGCGAAAACCGTATTGGCGATCACTAATCAGCTGGTGATCCTCAAGGTATCTCATAAGCTGGTAGTTTACAATGGACTCCATTTTTTTGGAGAACAAGGAGGTTTCCATCTCATGAAATAAATTATTTACAGATGTCATTCATGAATGAAGTTTATGAAGTTTGCTGGGACAAAGCTCGAGATTTGAGCTTACATGTACCAGAAGGACCACAAGAAAGATCCCAGCATATTGTGATGCCCAATATAAGAATTTTCGCTTTCATGCAATATATACACTAGAAGTATCCCGAGAGAGAATAGATGGTTTAGAGAGAATAAACCTAATCTTGCTTCATGCTAAAATTAAGTCCCGCCATTTTTCCACTAAAACTTTGTATTTATAGTTGCAGAAACAAACATGATTGGGCGGGACGCAATCAGAAGTTATTGCTGTAACTGCATTGTAGGTTTAAGAGCAGTGGGATGCTACTCACATGTTATGAGTATTATTTGGTACCTAAGCCATGCTCGCCATGAGGGTATTACCCGGCCTGCCCCCTTCTTAGATGAAGTTTTATTAAGAATTCATTAATTATAAGTACAATAAAATAAATGAACTTAAAAAACAAAATATTTTTTATTTACCTACACTCAAAACCCCATCAGAACTTTATCATTATCAAATGTTGCAGTCCGCTGCTGAATATAGGTATCTCCTAATCCACAACGCTGAGTGATACCGATCCTCATCTCAATCTACCTACTTAATGGTAGAACCACGCTGTAGCTATAATATAGTTGTAGCACGAATGACTGCTCGACCGGGGAAGAACCACGCTCTCACAGAATACCAGTGTAAAATAGCAGTTTAATACTGATGTGTTTCATATGGTGAGTGTAGAGATCCGGAGACCCTTTTTTACTGGAAACGAGGCATTCGATCCTAGTCTTCAGAGGTGACATCGCATCTGAATTTTATTTCTAAATCGAGGATAAATGTCCATGGGCCACAGCATTCACTAACCATCAGATGGACTGTCTGTTCGATTGTCACCCTTGTTCTATAAAAAAAAAACGGTTAGTAAAGCATTACAGCGTAGCGAAAAGCAATATAGAATATTTACTTTATCACAAAAACACATATTTATTTGCCTATATGTAACATAGGTACACTAGGAGACGTTTTGGCCGTCGACGGATTGTTGTACAATTTGTCGCTCCTATTTTGTTGCTTGAATAATGGTTTGAAGTAGATTTTGATTCGTAAAAGTGATGCGATTTTGTGAATTGTCTGCGCGTGTGAACTATTAGAGAAAACGAAGAAACAAGTGGTTTGATGTTGATATAATCTCCCAAAAACTGTGACGCAAAAAGGGACGCATCAGCATATTGTGATGAAAAAAATATACAAAAACGTAATCTTACGAAAGAAATGATAGGCTCAGAAGGTCTAGAACCCAAAACCATAAAGCCAGTTAAATAAAAAAAATTGTAAGACTAGTTCATAATATTATCGATTAGTCTATGGTTTATGTAGATAATCTTAAAAATTAAAACTGGTTATAACTTTTATCTCCTAAGTTCTAAAAATCTAAGAATTTAAAAGGGGTTTGTCTATCCTACTATCTACCAATTCAAACCAAAAATATCCCAAAACACGTTTAAAATGCAATTTACAGGGCTATAGTAAGTCAGCTCAAATTCTAATTTCGCCCCCACTTCCCCGCGCGTCGTATGCTATGTACCGACATGTATATGTACATGTTGTAATCACTAATACTGTAAGTAGATAAGAAGAGAATAGATGTAGGACATTAGATACTTATTTAATTAGGTTTATCATATTTATGGCTGTTTGTTTACGCCAACGCAGTCGCTTCTTATTTTTATTACGATTATTTCCCATTTTAATTTGACGTTGTCCTGTTGCGTAATGTGTATTCCGATTGTAAGAGAAACAGCTTTCTCGCTCAAAAGCCGAAGCTAGACTAATCGGGCGGCACGAAACAAGCTTCAAGACGCCGATAATTTAGGTAATTTCCTTTTACAGTGAAAATAATGGTAATTAAAAAAAATAAAGAACATAAGCCCTGCTTTATAGTAAGTTCAGTTAGTAGGTATGCAAAGTTTTATGATCTAATTTAAAGTATTTTATAAATACCAGCGGTTTATTGTTCAGTTTGGAGGTAACTTTGGATTTTTTTTCTATCGAGTAAATTTTACGGAATCGTGTTTTCGTCTGACATACTTAACATTAATCCTCAACTTTAGCATATATTTATTTTAAAATTAATGCTGCAATATTTTCGGCATAACGGAGGATCTTGCTAAGCCATTTGAGGTAGTATTTTTTCTATTTCCCCTTAAGAAATGGTAAATACATTATGTTTTTATAATTGAAATAAATATTTTAATGCCAATTAATTTATATCAAGTTTTGTATCTCAATTATTGCATACCCGATATGGGTAAACCTTGTAACATTTAATTGCAAATTGTACATACACAGTTTACTGGCAATAACTATTCTAATTCTGTACAGTAAACTTATTGCTATTATATATATTGTGTTTCATTGTTATTATACCTATTAAGGGGAAATATAATGTCAAATGGCTTAGCAAGATCCTTCGTTATGCCGAAAATATTGCAGCATTAATTTTGAAATAAATATATGGTAAAGTTGAGGATTAATGTTAATGATTATGTTAGACGAAAACACGATTTCGTAAAATTTTCTCGATAGAAAAAAAATCCAAAGTTACCTCCAAAATAAACAATAAACCGCTGTTATTCATAAAATACTTTAAATAAGATCATGAAACTTTGCATACTAACTGAACTAACTATAAAGCAGTGCTTATGTTATTTACTTTTTTTAAAATACCATTATTTTCACTGTAAAAAGAAATTACCTAAACTATCGGCGTCTTGAGCTTGATTCCAGTCGCCCCGTTAGTATCGCTTAGGCTTTTGAAGGGAGAAGTTGTGTCGCTTACGATCAGAATATACATTACGTAACAGTACGACGTAAAATAAAAATGGGAAATAACCGTGATAAAAATAAGAAGCGGCTGGCTTGGCGTTAAGAAACAGGCATAAATATGATAAACCTAATGAAATAAGTAATAACGACCTTTCTACTTACAGTATTAGTGATTACAAACATATCGGTACATAGCATACGACGCGCGGGGAAGTGGGGGCGAAATTAGAATTTGAGCTGACTTACTCTGTCCTCTTAAGACATCTGGTTTTGCACGTGCGTCTCTTTTACATTGTTCATTATTTATATTCTTACGTAGGGATAAGCCTTGCAAAAAATACAAACAAAAGATTAAAGTTCTGTAGGATTATAACTAATATTCTCTAACTTTATTACAGGAAAAGGCAAACGATTTATTATTATCCATATCATCATCTTCATATATATCGTTTTCACTACCAGATGGGTATATCCAAAATAAATATTTGAAATTATCAGATATAAAAATACTGTTAAAGGAAGCAATTTAAAAAATTGATGCTAACAAATGGAAAGACTATCAGATATGTAAGAGAATTAATAAAACCAAAAATGAATCAAATTAATAGGAATATAGAAATTATAACAGAAAACTTTATTATAAATGTGGGTAGCGAGAGTATTGGTTCGTTGGAGAGTGAATAAGTAATTTCATATTATATCTAATAAAAATGCTGTTTCAAAATCTGTGTTTTATTTATAATTATATATTAATTTGTTGGCCTGCTTTTTGTGCTCTATTGTGAATGCGGCTTAACATTTTCGACGGCTAGGTCACGCCCATTAAATAAAAAAAAACTCATTCTTTTTTCCTTGTCTTACGTATGCAATTGTGCGAAAGAGATTGCGTTATACTAGCTCGTCTCGGCGAGCAGACTATAGTATTGAATATTAAATAAATATACCACACAATTGGCCACTCACTTGAGGTACATATTTCTCTCGGTAAAATTGCAGGAAGAAAAATGAAAGTGCAGATTGTTCAAAGACATAATTCTCGGCAACAGCATACACTCCACCGAGCTCTCCACGTCTTCAAAATGATTGCCGTACATGAAGATGCCTGAAATAAACATTAATTTTTTCAACCAGATTGTTTATATATATATATAACAATATTATATTTTGAAGTTATTATATTTATAATGATAATTTCAAAATTCGGTTTTAAAGTGTACCAGGATTAATTAACGGTATTAGAATATTCAATAAAAGCATATAGGCCCCAGATATTTAATTTTGTTAACTTATTGCTCTTTTTTTCTGAAAGTGTATGCTGTTGGCCCTGCGGCCTTTACAGATTCATCGAAATAGACCCGTGAGCGAAGTCTCACGAGTTATTGAGTACATAGATCCTGTCGGCGGCGAGGCGGCGCCGAGTTCCTTATTTCTTGTAATAGTATTGGCTCGACCCGGGACCTCGTCATCAGCAGCCATGTTTACGACCACTAGACCAATGAGAGTCATCTCGTAAAGTACATATACATAACAGATAAACATACTCACGCCTGTCACCCGGAGTAGTTAGCAGAGACTACGGATTTCCATTTGGCACGATCCTGACACACCTCTCTCGCCTTCTTTACATCCATATATATACCTACGCTTATATGCTCGTCGGTTAAGGGTACTTAATCTTATCCATACCCACCTTTTTTGGAAGCATGTCCGTGCAAATCTATGTACAAAAATAATCCGGACTCCGGCTCTTTAGGTGTGCGTGTGGTTGCGCTGGCTGAAGAAATTGGTTTTTTCTTGAGCTGCTTTGGCGGTAGAGATGTTTTCTCTTCTTTTGACGGTCGCTGTTAAAACATCAAAATATACTTGTAAAAATCGGTCTACATAGTTCAGTCCGCTACTCCAGCCCTCTGAAATTGTTAGTTGCGATTTTATGTAAATATAGCGTCATTCGAATAAGCAAAGAGCCGACAACTGTTGGGGAAGAGAGAGAGAGAGTGAGGGAGGGGGAGAAAGAGAGGGAGGGGGAGAAAGAGAGGGAGGGGAGAAAGAGAGGGAGGGAATGGGGAGAGAGGGAGGGGGGAGATGGAGAGGGAGAGGGAGGGGGACATTCTCGAGCATTTTGTAGTGGACTTGTGAAGTATGACAATGATTGCACACTACGCTCAATATATAAATTAGTAAGTAGTAACGGGTCGGCCATATTGACAGAAGAACCGCAATCGACGCAGAGGAAAGATTCTTGAGTGGCAGCCTCACGGAAGTCGATGGATACAGTTGGCTCGGGACTGTGCCCTGTGGCATTCCTTGAGAGAGGCCTACGCCCAGAAGTGGACTTGTGAAGGGTTGTAATGATGAATACTGTTAGTCATACCTGCATAAGTAAACCCGTTACCCTATTTTGTTCTATGAGGGTCGTAAGAGACGACTTTAGTAAAGGTCTAAAAACCGCATGATCTCGGAGTTCTTCTGTGACAGTAAACTTTATCGTATACGAAAGATATAAATTACCTAGACTCAAAGTAAAATAAATTCGCTAGCCACACTATTCACATTTTCTTAACGCAAGCACTCACTTTCACAATACGCGAGCAAACCGGGTTCGATTTTAAGCCAAATGCTTCCTACAATTGAAAAGGTTCATGGTCAGAAATAAACTTTCATGAGCTGATGAAGTAGAAGAAAAGATAAAAACCAGCTCGTTAGCTCTCACGGCCGTTCTTATCGTATTACATTTTCATATCATTTCGTTTAAATGTTAACAAAAACATTATTCCTATAGAATGATCTTATAAGTACGCTGTGCCAGTAAAAGCTACATAGTCATTACACGACGACGTTTTAAGATTAATATTTTATGGAAAATACAACAAAATGCAGACACAATATTATGAACTAAATAATAAATTAAAGAAATAATATTTAGGTTAACATTTGGATGTTTCGTATATACTTCACGCGCTTAGTGCGTAATGTGCGCACGAATTAGAAACCGGAATTTATTTACGGCATATTATTGTGTACAAACCGTTATTGAATTTTCTAGCGCAGGTCCATCACCATTACTCGCCGATACTCCAACATTCGCCGTTGACGGGATATCAACCTCGTTCTGAAAACACGCAACGGAGTTTTTATAGTATAATTGGTGGCAAACGACCACACAGTCCACCTAATGGTAAGTGGTTACTGTGGCCCAAAGACATTTATCCTCGATAACGAATCAAAATCCAGATGCGTTGACACCCGTGAGGACTAAGATGGAGTGCCTTGACTCCAGTAAAAAGGGTCTCCGGTTCTCTACACTCACCAAACAAAACACAGCAGCGTTAAGCTGTTATTTGACGCTGATATTCTGTGAGAGCGTGGTCCTTTCCCGGTAGAGCCGACCCATTCGTGCTACGACTATACCAGTAATAAAGCTGCAGCATGACTCTACTACGTAAAGACATTCCTCTCAAAGTCTATGTATTTTGTTCTCTTGTTCATTACAAAGGATTTTAAATTTGAATCGAATGTCGTTATTAATACACGTTAAATAGTAGGTATCATTTTGATTCTATGTCAGTGTCTCTAACTGTTTAGGCCAAAAATGGGCAATTAAAATTGCATCCGATACGCGCGCTTAGCGCGTTCACCCGACGGTATCGAGGTGAGGTAAACGCCGCCGGGGGGGGGGGGCGTAGGCCGCTTCCGATGCCTTGTGCGGTGGACCGCTGCCCTCTCGTGTGCCGGGTGGAGAGAGGAGTGGTGTGTCCGCCACGCCGCGGCCCAGTCTACTAGGATGTAATAAACATTGTTACGCGGCGGTCCGTCGCGGACCTCCTAAAGTGTTATCTTAATTTGATTTTCGTGATAACTAGGCCAGATCATATAATTATTGTTGTAACAGTTTTGAGTATTGTTTGCGACCGTTAGACGGTTGGGCGCGGCCAGTGTTTGGACTTGAAGGCCTAAAGTTTGGGTTAATTTTGCGCGCCATTTTAAATATACTATTGAATATTTGGGTCTACTTTAGACCGCCTCGAATTTAGTTGTCCGTTTTGAACGTGTTACGTGACAAAAGGCGTATTTTGAGTTTGGAGTGATTAAAGGAACTTTTATGCCGTTAATTGCATCGACGAGTTATTAGTGCGTCGTTTGATAGCGTGATAAGACTTTTACTTTGTCGGGAGAACGCTGAACTTGTGCCTCGAGAAGAGACCGCGTTCGTTCTCGTGGTTATAGTTTTGTGCTAAGTGAACCTGGGACCTTGAACCTTGACCAACCGTCCTTAAGTTGTGCAGCGTGTCACTTGTTTTAATGTCGATTAACGTTGATTTCGTTGTCGTCGTCTAAAAGTGTTAAACTGCTAACTCCACATTTGCTAGTATGAAGGTTTTTATGTCGATTGAAAGAGAAAAAAAATACCTTTCAACTCGAAAAGATGCTAAATACATCCAAATTAAACAAAACACGAAAAAACCACGCAATCAAAACTGATAAGTACAGTGTACCAAATTACGTAAAATAACGTAAAAAATGACAACTCCGCCATTTTGTTCGTGCGTCCGAGCAACTACAAAGTGTTAATTATTGTAATACAAATAGTTTTTGGTTATCACACTTATTTCTGCATTGATTTTTTTGCAAGATGAGTACATTTTAATGTTTCTTACATAACAGTTTATAAAAAAATGAGTTTTGAACATGAACAATTCTCATTTAATGTGATCGCTGGAACGGTTGGGAGATAGCAGCTCTTACTTTTAACTTTGAGTAACCCAAGCAAATGTATTAGTGGAGATGGCATGTTTTATTTCTTATTTACTTAAAATTGGGTATTATTGTGGCAATGATTGCTATGAATGTTGTCTGCTTACATGAAATTAATACCTGATGTGTTATAATATAACCTTATATACCTATTGCACTTATACCTACCGTGCTGATTTACTACGTATGGATTTATAGATATTCGAATGTATGGATGGTTCGGTGGACGCTTTGTTACAGCTCTTTCACAACAAAACTACTGAAATGATTAACCCTATTTTTCAACATACTTAGTTACTTATGTAGAGCAGGAATAGTTCTATAATAGCTTCCTACTGTATTGGTATAATCTAAACTAAGTCGGGTAAGCCCGCGGGGCGCCCACAAGTCTACTATACTTTACCTACTGTAGATATTAAGTATGCCCACGCGTTAGTTTCGATTTAACCGATCCGGTGGGAATACAAGTACTTACGGCTGCTCTATTTCTTTGCAGAAATGTTCTTTTTACATACCTAGGTTAATATAGGTACCGTATTAATATAGTCCTTTTGGTGAGGTAGGATTCTTTTGGTATTGGTTTGCTTTAGCTTGGTTTGCGGGCTTACTTTGTTTGTGTTGTTGCAGATGAGCAAAAAGTTTAATTCTCGAGGGAAACGAATTGTTGAAATGAGTTTGAGTAAAAATGCACTTGATGTCATACCCAAGAGCTCATCAACTTTATCTGCTAACATACCTGCTTTTGTTTCTCACGATACTGAACCCTGTTTCTTTGACGGTGAACCACAAAAAGTTTTACCAACTACCCTTAGTATTGATCCTAAATCAAACCTCGTCGTTTTAACAACACCTACTAATAACAATGATTGTGACATGACCCAATGCAATAATGAAGACGCTCAGATAGACAGACATAAGAAGTTTATCTATAGTTCTTGAAACCAAACGACACGGTTGCTTTTTCCAACAATGGCCCTTCCACTATAGAATCACTAATGACATAAATAGTGTATATTGTGCTAATACGGATTCAGCACTTCTTGGAAACAGCCTATCTAGTACTATTAATATCATTAGCGCTGATCAAACCTCGAATATAAATGTTCAAGACCTCCAATGCACTACAGAACCTTCTGATCCTATGCCTAGCACATCTACTGGCATGGTTTTTACAAGTACTGTCTGCAATGTCGAAAGTTATGAAGGACACAACAGCGACAGTTGTTCAACTACAATTAGTAATATTTCATTGAATTTGATTTCGAATCAGCAACATAAAAATCTTAATGAAATTGAAACCATTGAGTCTGAAGTAACAATTATACAAGAATCAGAAAATAATATGAATTTGGTACCGTATTCAAGTTCATCTGATAGTGACACTGAACTACCCATTAAAAGTAAAATAAGAAATAAAAAACACAAAGTTGATCGTAAAAATTGGTTTGCAGTTTAAGAATAGAAATTCAAGAGAAACTGGGTTCAAATACTATGGAAGACTGAAAAAAGATCCAAAGTGGGTTTACGAAGTTGAAAAAGAACCAAAAAAACTGAAGGATCGTTGCAAGTGTAAAGGATCAAAACTATTAAAGTGTGACAAAATAAAAGAAAATGTGAGGAAAGAGAGTTTCGTTAAGTTCTTGAAGAAATTATCTTGGGGTGAAAAAAAGTATACATAGATGAACACGTAATATCCTTACCAGTCAAACGACAAAGAGACCGTAAACATGTGGAAGAATCCCGGAGAACATAATCTTTGGTCTACTAGTTGCCTGGTGAACCTGGAGAACCTAAGTTGAGAGTTTGAAAAACTATGTTTCTGAAAACATTAAATATTGGCAGAATGGCAGTACTTGGATGGAAAAAGAAACTTAATGACGGCAACAAACCTAGCGAGCAACGTGTTACGTCACAAAATGTTCCCGTCTTTGATGAAAGACACTCTAATATTACAGAATTTTTCTACGCTTTACCTAAAATGGATTCGCATTATTGTCGAGCGTGTACTTCGAGGATTTACTTACTACCTGAATGGCAATGCAAAAAGGCCCTGTATGATTTCTACGTTTTAGACTGGTGCGCTTCAAGCAATATAAAACCGTTCTCAACGACAACTTTTTACAAGTCTATGGAAGATAGTAACATTTCACTTTTTCGGCCAAAAAAACACGAGAGTAAAAAATGTGCTCTACACAAAGCAGGCAATTTAGAAGAAAATGAGTACCGTTTACAACATACAATTAAGAAAGAAGAAGCCAGGAAAGAAAACGAAAAGGATAAAGAAGATTCATCGTGCATTGTGATTGCCGCAGATGTGCAAGCTGTTTTGCTTTGTCCTGTTTCCAAAATAAGTACCCTTTACTACAAAACGAAGCTCCAAGTCCATAATCTTTGCTTCAAAAATTTAAAAAACACAGCTGCGTTTTCCTACATCTCGAATGAAAGTGAGGGAGGCGTAAATGCCGAAGAGTTTGCTTCAATTTGGATAAATTTTTTAGAAAACGAAATAATCCCTATGTTATCTTCTGAATGCAATAGGATTGTTATTTATACAGATGGGTGTGGCTACCAAAACAGAAATACTGTACTATCAAATGCTTTGCTTAATTTTGCTGTCAAACATAATAAATGATGGACAAACTTGTGTCTGAAGTAGAGTCTTTGCTGAACAGAGTCTCGGATTGGGGGGGACTAAATCTAGTCCAGTTTAACCCCCAGAAGACACAAGTTTGCGCGTTAACCGCTAAAAAGAACCCCTTTGTGGTATCTCCTCAGTTTCAAGGCACTCCCTTTGTTGCCTCAGCCAGTATCGGAATCCTCGGCGTCGACATATCGAGTGACGTGCAGTTTCGTGGTCACTTGGAAGAGAAGGCCAAATTGGACTCTTAAAAAACTTGGCGTGCTCAGCAGAGCGGGACAGTATTTCATGCCGGCACACCACCTGCAACTTTACAAGGCGCAGGTTCGGCCGCACATGGAATACTGTTCCCATCTCTGGGCTGGGGCTCCCCAGTACCAGCTCCTTTCACTTGACCGCATCCAGCGCAGAGCGGCTCGAATCGTCGACGACCGAGTGCTTTCCGATCGGCTCGATTCACTGGCACTGCGAAGAGATGTGGCATCTCTTTGCATTTTCTTTCGCATATACCATGGAGAGTGCTCTGAGGAATTGTTCGGATTAATCCCAGCCGCCAAATTTCGTGAACGCACTACGCGGCAAACGTCCCGATACCTTCCACACCACCTGGATGCTTGACGGTCCACCACTGTACGTTTCAAGAGGAGTTTTCTTCCGCGTACAACCTCTCTGTGGAATAGTTTGCCACCGGCGATTTTTCCGGACCGATACGACCTGGGGACCTTCAAGAAAATAGCTTACTCCTTTCTAAAGGGCCGGCAACGCACCTGCAATTCCCCTGGTGTTGCGGTTGATTATGGGCGGCGGTAGTCACTTAATATCAGGTGAGCCGCATGCTCGTTTGCCCCCTCTTCTATAAAAAAATGTATCTATAGAACAAAAGTATCTAGAGGTTGGCCACACCAAATGGAAGTTGACTCCATGTATTCCGCAATCGAGAGAAATCTAAAAAATAAGATTGTCAATGTCCCAGCTGATTATATAAATATTATTAAAAACACACGAAAGGAGCCTATATTTAACACACGATTTTTTCAACTATGTTCAGGCTTATAAAAGTATTAGACCAGGACGGTCAGTCGGTGATGCAAAAGTTAATGATATTCGTGCACTACAATACAGGCCTATAGGAGAAATATTTTACAAGATAAGCTTTAAAGATCCTTGGACTGTTGTGCCGCAAAGAAGAATAGTAGTCCCGAATTTTCTGTATGATGAACTGCCAGTTTTGCATCAGAACCGTTTACCTATCAAGGAGAGAAAGTATCAAGATTTGCAACAAATCAAGTTAGTTCTCCCGGTTGACTATCGCGAATTTTACGACAATTTGCCCCACTAATTTATCAAATAAATAAAATATTTTTCCGTTTTTCACAACTATGTTTTTAATTTCTATACCTTTTCTTAAAAATCGTAAATATGCTAACTCCACATTATCTTTGATATATTTGTGATGACTTAGATAGTAATCCTGATAACTCCTTTTTTTTGTTATAACTTCTTCAAAATGTAATAATTTATATAGATTGTAGCATAAACAAATAAGTAAAATTAATGTTGACTAACGGGATTTTCAATTTTCGGCTGATAAAACGAAAAATGTACCGTTTTATTGTTCTCCCGAAAATTCTTACGAATGGAGTTAACAGTTTAACGGATTTAGACGACGATGTGTAACTTTGAATCCCTTTTTTTATCAATGGGGATAAATGTAAATAATTTTTACGGCTAGCTATATTTTAGTTGCAATGGTCGGTCCAAATGGAAAAGGAAGCTATCACGGAATGCGTGTGAAATATAATACTACGGATTTGTATAACACGTGCAGAGAATTAACCTCTTTTCTAGAATTAAGGTCTTCCGTCTTCCATCTTAGTTTTCAGGGGTAACAACACATCATAACACTATTATTATATTAATAGTAGTATTTATTAATAAATCAATTTCATAATATGTTACTGAAAAATAAAAAAAAATGAAAAATATCACTGCCATAGGCTTCTATTCCGCTAACCTGTTACACCCTATTTTTTTCTAGACGGTAAAAAAGATCATCCCACAACGAGGATTGACTAATAAATATGACGTAGCCTGTGTCGTCATTCGTCATCGTGTTTATCATTGTATAAAATTTGTCATTTTTCTTTGATAATTATTGTCTTACAGTGCCTTAGAGTCATGGTAGTTCAGGCATAAGCGCGTAACTTAAAACTTCGTAAAACTTCATGATATGCGAGCAAACCAAGTGTATTCTACGCCGGCACCAATAAAATGATCGATTGCAAATGTAAGTGAAATGAAAATCTATGTCCGAGAAAATAAAAAGTTTCGTCGTCATGTGAAGTCCGGTAACTCCAGTTGGAGCAGCGCGAAGGTATTTTTTTAAATAGGATTTCTTTGGAAATGTGATATGCTTTGAGTCTAGCAGTGTGATATATTATGTTACTTTTTTACTTTAAGGGGGTCTGTGCATAGTGTACTTTTTTTACTAACTTTGAGTCACAAACGATCACGCAGTCCACCGGTTGGTGGCCCCTGAATTCAATAAACCTGTAGCAAATTCCAAACGAAGAAGACAATAGGTTTTTTTATAGCAATAGGTGACAAATGAGCACACAGTCCACCTGATGGTAAGTGGTTGCTATGGCCCATAAACATCTACATTTTTACTCAATTAAGAATCAAAATGCAAACGCGTTGTCACCTCAGAGGACTAAAATGGAATGCGAATGGCGAAGTGATGGGTCGTTGACGAATTTTTGACGGACGAAACGCAACCGTTTTCACGACGATGAAAACGGTTGCAGAAAATGGTCATCGTTGCCACTGGTTTGAAGACGGCTTAAAGGACGAAACTTATCCAACATGGAATACAATTGCGTTTTCATCGAGTGAAATGGTTGCAGCTTCTTACAACTTTCAACGATTTGAAATGTATGGAATGGTTTACTAAATAATTCGTTTTATCGATAGACTTTACCTAATGATGAAATGAACTTCCCTTTATACTTTTCCAGGCTTAGGACTTGCTGCGACAGACTTAGCATTACCATTAACATTAGCGACTGTATTTCATTGACGAAAAATTCACTTTGCAATACGCAAGGACTGTTTAGTATCTGTTTTCGTTTGTAAATGAATGCGGAACCAAAGACTACAATATAACGCGGAACGCGCCGAGTGAGATAGTTGAATCATTGAGTTCTCGACTGTATTTTCATAGCCGTAAAATAAAAAATCGCAGCAAGTAATTCGAAGACTGGTTTGTGCAACGAAGACTGTTTGGACGTAAAACGGTTTTTCGTCGCAGAACACAAAACGGTTTTTGTAAACGGTTAGTCGTCGCAATGCCCACCCTTAGTAAAAAGGGTCTCCGGTTCTCTACACTCACCATACGAAACACAGCAGCATTACGCTGCTATTCTGGCTGCTATTCTGTGAGAGCGTGGTCCTAACCCGGTCGTGCTGACCCATTCGTGCTACATCTATAATACAGCTGCAGCGTGGCTCGTAAAAAAACCTTAAGGTGCAATGTCAATCCTGAGGCCTATAACTTATACTGACTCTGTCTACCCTTCGTACCCAAGTATAACAGCGAAGCTACTACTTAGCTACAGAAATAGTTATGAGACTCACGATATCCTCATTTGATTCTGTCATGACGTATCTCTTGAAGCAGTTTGTACAGAAGTATACGGCTTCTACATCTGGCGGCTGCTCTGTATCCTGAAGCTGTAACAGGTTAAAGAAAAAATTATAATAATTTTTATTTTGATATTGATAATATTGACCGACGAGCATGTATGCGTAGGTGTATGAATGTGAAGGAGGCGAGAGAGGCGTGTCAGGATCGTGCCAAATGGAAGTCTTTAGTCTCTGCCTACCCCTCTGGGTGACAGGCGCGAGTGTTTATGTATATGTATGTGATAATATTGAGCATCTGTTTTGGTAACTAATAAAGCGAAAACATAAAAATTTTTAAAAATTGAATTCTCGCACAAAGAATGCTACAAAGCACGGTCCATTAAGTTGTCATTCGATATAGTGGGGGATAGCTGTACACTTCGTTTATCAAGACAAGGCTACTACTCGTGAAACTTTTTTCTTCACCGGTAGTCGGTTCTTCGAGCTATATGACCGACCCATTACCGCTTCAGTTTACTGATCCATTGCTTTAAGTCGGTAACTCTGGTTCTACTGCAGATGTCCTCATTAAGAAGTCTATCGCGCCGAGACACTCCGAGAGTAATCCAACCCACAGCTCCCTGAGCGACCTTGGACTTCCTAATACAGTCGGCAGTGAAGCACCACGTCTCAGATACATATTTCATCTCTGGCAACACTTGTTTCCATTCAAGTTTTGAGATATACGTTACGGGAAATGGGTCGCTGATTGACCTCTTTTTTGTCTGATTGTTTCAAGTTAACATACTCGTCAACAATTTATAGCACATTAATTTATGTAGTTCAGTCTGCAGTCGCAAAATGCGCAGTTAGCGTTTGTGTTGTGAGAGAAACGAGCGTAAAATATAATCTTTAATAGGAGTTAGATCCTCCTTGACACTAATGAAATTGTTGATTGCGATTTTAAGTGCTGATCACATCAAAAAACTGAGTTTAATGTGATTTTTGGATAATTGGACTATTATAGAATATGCAGATTTTTTTTTTGTTTAAGTTTACGCTAATGAAGTAGCAGATAAAGGCTAGTAATTAATAAATCATAACCATAGAATATTATAATATACAATAGAATGGCTGTCAACCTTATTTTGTACGAGGGTCGGCGTCGCCGGGAGCACACATATAAAGCAATTACGTCGTATTATCACTACTACAAACCCGATTCGCCGTGTGATTAATGTTTAAGATCATCATTCAAAAAAAAATCGTTTAAATTTTAATACATATTTATTTGTAAATGGTGTGCAATTTGGCATTTTCTAAATAATTTGCATGCGAAATTTGGAAACGATCGTAACGTCAAAACACATCTCGTGTTGACAGTTATACGTGTGAATTGATATGTTAGTAACATTTTAATGGCTACACGGGCTCCGCCCACTCCCCCGTTCTATTATACATGTATTATAGTATTCTATGCTCATAACAGTAGAATATCGGTAATAACATCGGTATCTATTTTTAATCAAATAAATAATTCGGTTAGGAAAAGTACCTTGCCCTCCTGTAAATTAAATTGTTGCAACTGATGCTCTTTATACTCGTCGATAGAACTAAAAGCGGGACATTCTGAAGGTATCTATATAGGAAAATAAGGTATTAGGAAAGTGGGAGAAAAGAAAACAGGATAAAAAACCTAGAAATAATTGTAATTATAATAATGGGTGTCGTAAGAGGCGAAAGAGAGAGAGAGAAAATGAAACAGATGTGCAGCAGCATCTTCCTGATAAAAACTCAAAATAATAAATAAAAAAAACAGGCGTTGACAGCCCGCCTGCCAAGCGTGGCAACTGTAGCAAAGTATCCCATATGAAGCAATCTGTAGGGGAAACAATGTTCAGCAGTAGACTTTTACAGGCCAGGCTGTAATGGATGGAGGGGATGGAATGGACACAAGAAGACAAGACTTTAAGAGTAAAGTTATTCCCCGTCTATTTATATCCAAGCACTGCTCACAATAGCAGTCCGTCCATTTATTTAATAGGTTACCAGTGGACCTTAAAAGTCTGTACAAGAGGCGGTTTCGAAACTGAGCTGAAAAATTTTTTTGTTGGAAAAATGCTTCTATAGTGTTGATGACTTTGTTAATGATAGTGTTCAATCATCTTAATTTTATTGGAGCATAATCTGAAATCTATTATAACGGTTTTGACATTAACAATTTCACTACTCGACTTTGCTTGATTTTTATTTTTATGACATTACCATTGTTAAAAAAAATTATGGTTGCGCGGAGAAATAATACCCTCGCATTTTGTTTAGTTAGTAAAACTTAGCTGGTACAATCCACCTTCACTTCAGTTTCCTTCCCGCACGTTTCCATGGGGGGGGGGGGTTATACGTGCGGCATCATTTATTCGCCCTATAGGATTCATTATTCCCGGAATCGAACCCAGCACTCTGTGGTCCAACCAAATTATAATTTTGTTTTGCTTATGTATTGATTTGGTTATAATGCATTATTCACACAATGTACATTGTTTTGAAAATATAAGAAATCATTAAATTGATTTGATGTTGATATGATTTATAATATTAGAATTGTGAATATAACATTATGATGTTTTAAAATACATATTAGCATATTTATTTCGATATGATGTTTTATTTAAATATAATAATGGAATACAAACTAGCACACAATTCACCTACATTTATCCTCAATTAAGAATCAAAATGGAGATGCGTTATCACCTTAGAGGACTAACATGAAATGGAAAAGAGCATTAAGCTGCTATTTTATGCTAGTATTCAGTGATAGCGTAGTTCTACCTGGTCGAGCCGACCCATTCCTGCTACAACCATAATATAGCTGCAGTATAGCTCTACCACGTGTAAATGATGTGATGAGGTACCGCGTGACTGGCAAAATCAGTAAGGTTTTCGTACCATACCAATTTCGCTGGTGATATCAAAATGCGTGGTGGTGGGTAGGTTACCGTGGCGGTGTAGCCGGGCAGCATGGCACCAACGCCGGGTGAGCAGCGCTCGAGGCGGCGCAGCGCGCGCCGGCACTCTCCGCACCAGCCGACCCGCACCCGCCACTCCCGGGACTCGGCGCCCATCGAGCTCCCACTGCCGATCATAAGTAAAAGAATTAAAGCACCCGCTTATGATAACGTAATCCTGAATTCGGACACGGCGATAGTTTCCAAATAATAAAAATTTGGATGTAAGTGTACGAGCCATTTTTTTAATAAAATTAAAGTGACAAATGAATGGGTGCGTTTGGCAGAAAAAAGCGCTAGCAAGCGCTTGTAAGGAAAATGGCGAAACTAAACAGTTTTCGGCTAGGACACGTTTGCTAACTTCAGTAGCGCTGACTCAATCCGCCATTTTGCTTATTTAATTTGTTTGTTTTGAAGTAGAGTTTATAAGTTGTTTTGTGCAATATTAGTTTTAGGTAATATAATGACATGAATAAACATATACATGTTATTAAAAATTCATGATTGGTAAGTTTTTAATATGAATACTTTACAAACATATATTTAAATTAGGTTAGGTTCCCCAGTTAAAACTAACTTCGTTTCCTAGAGGAAGATAGCTACTTACGATTTGACAGCGCTTACCGCTTACGATCGCCATTTTGCTTACAAGCGCTTGCTAGCGCTTTTTTCTGCCATACGCACCCAATGTATAGTCCTTACAATTCACGAAGTCGAGCGGGCTTTACTCGCAATTAAAACGTGTACACGCACATTGCGATAGTATGCGTGTCTGACGGGGCGATCAATTGCGAACGTGCCGTAGCTAACCATACCCGTTTTTGTCTTACGCTCACTTTGACACGTATACAGATACGTGTTTACCACAAGTAAAGCTCTTTCGACTTCGAAAATTACAAGAGCTATAAGCGGTTACTGCAATCCAAGGAGATTTGCAGCTAATATCACGGAGAGAAGAAAAGCTTCCAGCCTGTAATTATACCGGCTCTAAATACCCTTTAGACCTGAGCACTCTTGGCAGCAGAAATAAGCAAGAGGATAGTTACGGGTCTGGGTTCTAGTCCTTCTGAGCCTACCATTTCTTTCGGAATCTTCATTTTATATTCTTTTTTTTTCACATCACTTTTACGAATCAAAATCCACTTCAAACCATTATTCAAGCGACAATCCGTCTACGGCCAACTTCCCGCCAAAACTCTCCCTAGTAAGCGATAGTTAACCTAGAGCCACAGAATACATAAAAGTATTGTGTATAGAGTGGCTACTGACCCCCACCCGCCGATCTGTACTAAATCATCCCGCCCAGATTTCAATAGACACTTCATTTGCTCTAAGCGAAAGGACGTATGTGCGTGTTGTATTTCAACAGACTACAAAAAAGGAGGAGGGTAAAATCGACTGCATTTTTTTATGTGTGTTACTTCAAAACTTTTTTCTAGGTGAACCAATTTTGATTATTCCATTTTTATTTGAAAGCTGGTTCTTTTCATGTGGTCCTATATAAATTTGATCAAGATCTGACCAGCAGTTTTTGAGTTATCCTTAATAATGCGTATTTAATTGACTTCGAATACTTTGATGATGTTCTCATTTTATACAACATGTAACATAATTAACGCACATCCTGAAAGTAGTTTGTTCAGAATCGTTTACTGAATCGATTTCTATCAGTTTTAATATAAGTAATTTTTTATCCCAAAAATTATTAAAACTAAATGGACCGTAACTCAAGGCAATAAGACTTTTAAAAGAGTAGTTTTATTTGTATTAATACAAATTCCGTCATTCGATAAAAAATAAAGAAAAATTAACCTTATTTCAAGCACGTTATAGTCTTTGTGTTGTGGATATATATTGTGACCACAACATTCTCCCGGAATTAGTACAACAAATTAATAAATAACCAATTCATAAATATGTTTAACTAAAAAGTCAGTGTGTGAAATCGATTCAGTAAACGATTCTGAACAAACTACTTTCAGGATGTGTATTAATTATGTTACATGTTGTATATATTGAAGTCGGTTGTACAATATTTTCGATTTTATCACTTGTATTGGCCGTAATTGCAGTGGTACATAGTATTACGTACACAAACATATGCATATGGTCGTGACCTATAAACGCCTGGACTAGCCAATAAACATTCCACAGCAAGATACCAGCTTTGTGTTTTCATCCCAAGTGTTGATTTTTGTCCGTGTACGAATATTACGTTATTTTAACAATACAGATGTGGCTGGAGTAGGAAAAGGGGAGATCTCCCGCCGGGCAAGGTTTTCTGCCCGGGGAGCGGCCAACACTCCGTGTGATAGTTCGGAGAAGTTCTATATATACTGTCCATGATTCGGAATGTTAATAGCGCGATTTAGGCGTCGGTGTGTTTCGGTGTGCTAGTGGCGCGACGACAGCGCCGCTACATCACCCCTCTGCTCAGACCTGAGGTCGATAGTGAAGTCTCGTTGTCGACGAATGTGCAAGTGCCAGGAGATTGCCTTGTAGTCGGCGGTGAGTCGAGAAGAAGGCAAGTAATCTGCGAGAGTGCCGTGAAGCAGAGGCGAGCAGTAAGGCTCAGAGCCGTGCCGAACACTGTATAGCACAGAGAGTAGCTTGAAGGAACAGGAAGCATTATTTATTCCAGTGCTGCGATGAACCTTGTGAAGCTAGCTGGCTTGCAGGATATGAAGACTGCAGACGATATCTGCTCGGGAGCGAATGGGTGGGGTATTCTATGACGATGATGAAGCTTGAAGTTTCCGAAGGTTGTTTGGTTGCGTGTTCATCAGATCACGTCGGGGTCACCACTGTGGCCGTGAAAGGAAAAGGGGAGATCTCCCGCCGGGCAAGGTGTTCTGCCCGGGGAGCGGCCGACACTCCGTGTGGTAGTTCGGAGAAGTTCTATATATACTGTCCATGATTCGGAATGTTAATAGCGCGATTTAGGCATCGGTGTGTTTCGGTGTGCTAGTGGCGCGACGACAGCGCCGCTACACAGATATCAATAAAATTGTTTTTATTAAACAAGAAAAGAAGACATACGAACACACAATTCATCATAACATGGTAAGTGGTAGAGCCATGCTGCAGTTGAATTAGTAGTATAGTTGTAGCACGAATGGGTCGGCTCGACCGGGGAAAGACCACGCTCTCACAGAATACCAGCGTAAAATAGTAGCGTAATGCTGCCGTTTCGTATGGTGAGTGTAGAGAACCGGAGACCCTTTTTACTAGAAACGAGGCATTACATCTTAGTCCTCACGGGTGACAACGCATCTGCCTTTTGATCCGTAATCGAGGATAGAAGTAGGTGTCTATGGGCCACAGCAACCACTTACAATCAGGTGGACTGTGTGCTCGATTGTCAACCTGTCCTATAAAATAAAATTAATAAAAATAAGTGGATACTGTGGTTCATAAGCACCTACGCCTATCGCCGATTAATAGTCAAAGTTTCTCGTTAACAGTAAAAAAGATCTCCGATCCTCGTCACTTATCACACGAGAAAAAGTAGCATTATGATGCTCTTTTGGTGATACTTACTTCCTTGGTCAAGCCGACCCATTCATGTTACAACTACATATAATACAGCGTAGTTTGATCACATTAAAACATCTTTATTACATATCTTTTTCTTTTAAACTTGGTAAGTTTTATTTCAATCAGTTGAATAATCCGTATATAGTTGATTAGTCCGTATTATGCCGTTACACATAAACTGGGGTTCATGACTTACGTCTGTCTGGTTATTTAATGATATAATTTCTAGGTAAAATAAAGGAATAGTAATTTAGAATATTTAGATACAGTAGCAGCATTTACTAGTGTTAAATAAATAAACAGCAAATCAAAGTTGCATTTTATGATGATCTTCTAATCGGTTTTGTTTTGACCATGGCCATATATTATAACGGCCAAGGTGTTTGCCCAAAATATAGAGGTTCTTACTCCTTTCTTCTTCATGTGCAATGTTTCTTGAAGCTTAAAGTAAGAATGAGAGATGATTGATGAGATTTTTAAGATATTCTCATAATCAAAACATACCCAGCAACTGACGAGTTTGACTCCATCAACAAACTTATGCTGTTCTTCAGGGTTTCCCGAAGGGGTCTCAGGGGGTTGTTCCCTTGGAGGCTCAACTCTTCACTTGTGCTTACGTGGACGTTTGAGCCAAGGCAAGACCGTAGCACATTGTCGTTAAGGAGTGAAGGGCTCTCTTCTAAATAGGAGTTATCATTCTTGGATGTTGCATCACTTTGCTGTGAAGGTATCTCTTGTAGTTTCATGTCGTAGACCTGAAGGAATAGTGATTATTATTATAAAATATCAAACAATTATTTTGAATGTATTTGAACTTTTTACAAGAAAAGACAAGAAATAAAACTGAAGCATTGTAAAACGAAATGGTAAAGTTCGACATTGATGAGTTTCTCTATTATTTCTTTTTCAATTGAACCAATTAAATAAAATACTAGCAAGTGTTTTGTTTCCAAATGAAAAAAATATAATTACGTTAGGATTCTAACCTCACTTAATCAAAGGTGTATGTTTTTATCTTACTTCATTACATTTTGCACTGTGAAGTGGCGATGTTAGAATACCTATATAGTTCCGTTGGTGTCGTGAAAAGCGACAGAAGGAACCAAGGAGATGAGCAGCAGCGTTCAATTGCCAACCCGCCTGCTAAACGTGGCTACTGTTGCGTGGCAACCCTCTTGTGTGGTAATCTATCGTCAGGCCTATATTCAGCAGGAGACTTAGGTAGGCTGTAATGATGATGTAGGTTGTTAACTATAGTTAACTAACTTTAGTCGTGAGTATAAAAATAACATAATTATGTCTAGTTTTTTTTTTAAATCATTCTAAATTAAACAATTTTTTTTGTGATGCTTGGTTGGTGAAGGGGAAGGGGAAGGAAGGGTATTAGGAGCTATAAATGTCTTCACGTTTATAGCTCCTAATAGTGTAAAAACGTTTATTTATTAACAATTAAATACCAAAAAACTAGAAGAAATAATAAATACAATTCATATGTGACACCTTCATAAATTTTACCACCTTACCAATGTAATATACGGACTATAAGAGACTTTTTTTTATAGCGCTGGGTGACAAACGAGCACACAGTCCATCTGATGGTAAGTGGTTGCTGTGGCCCATAGACATCCACATTTATCCTCAACTAAGGATCAAAATGCAAATGCGTTGTCACCCTTGAGGACTAAGATGGAATGCCTCGATTCGACCAAAAAGGGTCTCCGGATCTCTACACTCACCATACGAAACACAGCAGCGTTACGCTACTAATTTACGCTGGTATTCTGTGAGAGCGTGGTCCTACCCCGTTCGAGCCGACCCATTCGTGCTACAACTATAATATAGCGCAGCGTGACTCTACCACGTAATTTTTTTAATGATTGAAGACCACAAGGTAAAAAATAATTTAAACATAATATTGATCGTGCAAAAGCATTAAAAAGTGCTTTAGATAGGAAAGCTTAATAAATTCAGATGCTTCCAACGCATTCCCGTATCTTTATGATAAGCTGTTATTATTTCGGAGCAAATTTAATTAAATCAGTGACCAAAATCATATCAATTTTTTAATTATTAGATTAGACATAACATTAATGTATTTTAAAGTACAAGATAACGCGTAGAAATAAGTTTTAAATAAATTATATTCCTTATTTTTCTTCAACCCGTAAAAGATCATGAACATGGGTTATTTCAGATGTATAGGAAGATTGGTCAATTTGCCCAAGGTTTGGTTATTTCACCTCTGGCGTAAACAGAACGATCATACCGCGAAATACTGGAATTCATAAGATCTTTGTGGCGTTTTCCACATTCGCCTCTTACGACACTGACGAGAAGAATTGCGATGACAGACTTTCTTAAGTCGCTCCCACATGGCAACTAAATGAGTTAAAGCCTAAAATTGAAAACAATGTTTTACTTATCGTAATTAATTAGTATACAAATAACCATAGAATACTATAATACGTACATAATAGAACGGGGAAGTGGGCGTAGCCCGTGTAGCCACTAACATGACAATTCACAGCTATAAATGTCAACACAATCAATCGTTTTCAATTTTCATGTAAAGCGTCGCTGCATGCGAATTATTTAAAAAATGGCAAATTGTGCAATACTTACGTGTCGAAAGAACAGTGGGAAATGGAATTTAATAAAGGAGACATATCCTAAAACCAGTAAGTCGAAACTATTTATATTTTGTAATATTTGAAACAAAAATAAAGAAATATTGATGTGTCAAAAACATTAATCAGAAGTCTATAAATTCGCTCAGTCTGTCAATACTGCGAATCGGGTTTGTAGTAGTGTTAATACGACGTAATTGCTTGTATGTGTGCTCCCAGCTACACCGATCCTCGTACAAAATAAGGTTGACAGCCATCCTATTGTGTATTATAGTATTCTATGCAAATAACTAATCTATTTGTGTTTTTCCCAATAAATGATCTAATCCACTTACATAATAGTAAGTTTTACTGTCTGTCAGTGTATCTTAATTTAAACTACAGACATTACAGTACAGCGATACATAATCTAAATAATTTAACTTTATTACAACAACACCAAAACTTCATTATACATTACACACCTTAAGAGAGGGGAACGACATTAGCAGTATAAATTATTATCTTGTTTGTACCATGGTATAAGTAATAACTTAGTATATAAAACATAATATGTGATCCAATAATTTTCATTGTACCTAGGTTATGTTATCAGAATATACAAACTTTTTGGATAGTATTTAATTATTTAAAGTTTGCTTGCATCCTAATATTTATATAAATAAACAGTGGGTAATATATGGCGCTGACAGCTGATGCACAGGTCTCCTAGTTCGACTCCAGATGCTATTTATTTATTTATTTCTGAAACTTACAACTATCATTACAGGATAACCTAATGCGATAGTGTAGCTGTCTAACTGATTTGTGTTGATTATTTAATTTTTGTAAGAAATTACAAAGAATGCCGTCTTTGTGAATTCACTCAGAGTACAACAGAATAGGTCCGTCTCACAAGCTGTTAAGTTGAGCGTGCGGAGTGCGCGCGTTAGAGGTGCCTCACTCAGAAGGTTGGTGCGACCTCGCAGCTCCACCAACAGTCGCGGCTGGCGTCGGCGCCACACATACCTCTCAGGAACACATAGATTAAGCTGCCCTAATATTTCAGCATTATACAATTTTCCTCACAGTATTTTAAAAATATACGAGGTGAGTGCGAGATCTCCCCTAACCCTCAGTTCATTATATCCTACCATACCTAACACAAACAAAGTTGGATACGTTAAAGGGTAAATTGGGTAGACACCATAATAACGCATATATAAATATCTAATGAATTTATTTTGTACTCGCTCTAGCATGAGACTATACTTAGTTTCATGCGGAGCCCAGATGACTGAATTACATTCACGTTGACTCTTTACAAATGCGGCTTTATAAGGCGATAATCGCTTTTATGTTTGTGAATCCTCTCACTGTACGAAGCATAAATCCCAGATTTCTATAAGCTTTTTTACAGATGCTCATGATGTGATCATGAAAAGTAAGCTTTGTGTTAAAAGTTACTCCTAAATCCTTAACGTCTCTGACCCTCGTCATCAACAGCCCGTCAATGTGATAGTTATGTAAAATAGGAGTGTTTGCGCGAGAGAAAGTAATTAACACACACTTAGAGCTGTTAAATTGCAAGAGATTGTCTTTACTCCAACTCACAACCCTGTCTATGTCCCTTTGTAGTCTGGCACAGTCATCCCCATTTTTTACCGCAAGAGTCAATTTGAGGTCATCAGCAAACAATAAACACTTAGCGTCCTTCACCACTTCTGGTGTCCAATGTGGCTTTAGCATATCTGGTTGTACTACCTTTTGGAAAATAAAGAACTTATTATTATTATTAATCTAACTTTTCATGGGACGCCCATTTTCAACGTAATTTACTCAAAAAGTCATTATGTTTGCTTGTTACAAAAGAGGAAATATTTCGTACCCTTGTTCTTTTAATAAAGTCTTTACTTACCAAGTAAAATTACTACTGGCTATGAAATGGTAACATTCATCAAATAGTGAATTCGTTCTACAATAAAAAAAATCTCAGAAAAACTATTTATTTAACCTATTACCTAATTAATATATAAATAACCTAATTAACAAATTAATCTTAAACCCTGTCTAATGTCAAATCTCATCGCATAATAGTTATATAGTAATAAACTAATTAATCTTACCTGTTCGGCGAGATTAGCCGCCTCTCCGCTCAAAAGTTTGGCTTCTTTCTTCGATTGATCCATAGACTGATGTTTTAAATTGGTGGAAGATTTGTTGCCCGACTTCAGTAGCTTCTCCTTCTTGAAGTATTCGTTCTTGTAAGATTTGGTCCCTTTCTTCTTTTTCACGTTTTCTATCAACTGTGTCGAATGATATAATGATATTAGTCACTAACATAAACTTCATTAATATTTAAATTGTAAATTTCCTTAGCTAAACTTTAGCCGATTTCTAGGCAGAAAAGAATGTCTAACACATTTAAATAATACTAGTTTTTACGGATTTTATAGCGTATATTTAACTTTTTAAATAACCAACCAAGTTTATTTTATAGATAAATATGAAGATCAATAAGACCAACACGTTAAAAACGATTTTTTTTACACACATTGCATTTCCTAACCATTAATATTACGTTACTACAAATATATAAACACCTATATTCAGTATTTCAAACAAAATCAACCAAAAATCTGGAGCATTGAAGAAAAGAGGTTACTTCGTCGGTACAATTCGGTTTAAAATAAAATGGCAAAATTAACTTAATATCCACACACAAAATATGCGCTTAGACGTGGAGTTACGGCAAACAGCCTGTCGTAAACTAAACTACACTAAACTCTTAATACGTTGCCATATCGAAAACAATGCTATCAATTTTTTATTGTATTTTCAACAAAAAAAGGCATATTACGAATAATGTTACGTTTTCCGTGTTAAAATAACATTGTACTGGCACAAAATTACGATTAACACTGTTAATTGTAATTTTGTACCAGTACAACCCTGATGGCAAAGTTAAATTCCATTGGTAAAGTTGCCAGACTTGACTGTAGTAGATATTCTTACACCGCCACTACACAGTGAAATAATATATTATATGCAACAAACATATACATTACTTACCTCGGCGTTTTCGCTAATGTTTTGCATACTCGTCGATATTAGACTTTTGCTATCTTCATAGAAATCTTCTTTCTCACAACCGAAATGGTAATACCTGCAAAATCGAAATACATTTTTCTATAAACAACCATAACAAAAACAACAACATAAATAACATATAAAGAAATATATCTCTCCCTTTTAATCACAATATTGAAGTCGCTGCTATATTTAATTTTGACTTGGCAGGATTTGAGTATAGAAATATTCTGATCATATGCGCTTCATCATGGTAAATCCACGAAAATACATATTATGGTCGCAGCACTATTAGGTTGGCTCAAATTCAAATCGTTTATTGCATCTATAATGTACAGTACATTAGCAGTTACAGTGACCATTATAGACCCTGTCGGGCATTGCAATATACAAGAAATATACAATGAAATAATTAAAAGGATTTATAACTACGTAACTTCATTATAATCTTCACAACATAAAATTTGTGCAAGTTGGCTCATGTAAAGTAACATGTATTTGGCTATTTTGAAAATAAAATTTTATTTAATACTTAGTAATTTGCTGCTTAGTAATTAACCATCAAAAAATTCAGTGAGCGTGTAAAAGCATTTGGAAATAAGAATCTAATCAATCAATCTCTCTCAATCACGAAAACTACACTAGCACAGAAGACCAGCACAACAATAGTAGCATAACACTCCTGTTTCATATGAGTGAAGATAATCCCCGTTTATAGTTTTTTTTTTAAATTATAGAACAAGGCTGACAAACAAGCACACAGTCAACTTGATGCTAAGTGGACGCTGTGACCTATAAGCACACATCTATCAACCTTCACACCTATCCTCTATCAAGAATCAAAACACAGATGCGTTGTCACCCCTGAGGACCGAGATGGAATGCCCTGTTTCCAGTAAAAAAGGTCTCCGGTTCTTTCACTCACCATACGAAACAACACAGCAACATTGAGCTGCTATTTTACGCTGGTTTTCTGTGAGAGCGTGGTTCTTCCACGGTCGAGTCGACCCATTTGTGCCACAACCACAATATGCGGCAATAAGCTGCAGCACTGCTCTACCACATGTAACGATGCGTTTCGTCTTAGACCTCATGCTTGACAACGCAACTGCATTTTAGATCCTAAAAATTAGGGATAAATGAAAATTTGAATTTTCAAAGAACAATAATAATTACTATAATAAACTGTTATAAAATCTATTATAAAACAGTGTAATATTTATATCTCATTTTCATCTATGTCTATAGGAGGGACCCGTGTTCAGCAACTTTTCAAAGAATTATAAGGATGGGAATAATTTAAAAAAATATACCTTATAAGTGCCCTGGAAGCATACACGGTGGGGTGGAGTGTCAGCGAGGGATTAAGATAGACTCTGTTCAAATTAACACCCCTAGTGTCTGTCCTATAGTGACCCCGCGCAACTCCATCGGGGTTGAGGAACGGGATCAACTTGAAAACGTAGTTCTTGCGCAACTGAATAGCAATGGGGTCATCTCTGGATAGTAATAGGTTCAAGAATCCATTAAAGACAAAGCTTGATGGAGTTTCACCCGGATGTACCCTTGCCGATATGAAGATTACCTGCAATGCATATGTTATAATTGTTCAAGCTCTCTGGGTAAATAAAAATAAAAATGATTAGCCAACTTTAAAAACTTGTTTGGTGTGTAATGGTCCAAATAGGACTGGCTAGTCAGAATGTGCTAGGATGTAATACCCTAGCCCTGTTTTTAGTTCGGTTAGCTATACTCTACTATACTACCTTCATCATTATAGCCCTTCACAAGTTCACTGTTGAACGGCCTAAAAATGAGGATATCCACAGTAGAACCAGAGTAACCGACATCCCAACGGATTAGTAAGCTGAAGTGGCAATGAGCCGACCATATAGTTCTAAGAATCGAAAATTAATGGGGAAGAAATGTCCTAGAGTTGTACTGGTAGACGAAGTGTAGTTGGAGTGACGACCTGATAATACATACAGGAAGTCCATGTATGTTGGCGGTTCAGAAACATGACATGTTTAACAGTGGACTACAACCTTACAAGAAATAAAATGTATATATACATATCGATTTATATTCTAGGCCTCATTAGCCTCGTCATGTGCTGGTGAAATAAGAAAAAATGTCACCCATTTTATCCTATGGGAGGGGCAAGAGGTTACTTTAGAAAATACCAGAAAGATATAGAGGATTTGGACCTGTCCCCTTGTGCCGGACTTGTCCCAGTCTAGTAATGGAAGCAGTATTAAAAATGCGGAACGCCTAATACTGTAATGGCCAATCCGCGTGTCTTATGTAAGTCTTTACGAAAACTGAGGATGTTCATGTTGTAAAATGGAATTTTAGAGGCTGTTGATGAACAAGAAGAGGCTAGCTTAAGGCGGATTACCTTTTTGTTCTGAAACTTGAATGGCCTCTCTTTGTTGTCTGGAAACAGATTCTTTAATCTCTCCTCCCTCTCTTTAGTAATTCCATGGTGTGAGGTTATTGTTAACAGATCTACTCGCCTACCTGTAATATTTTTTTAAAATATTGTAACCAAATCTTATATCGAAAGTTAAGAATAAAAACCATACAACTAAAACTTTACTTTTAATATTTATCATATTATTTTATATAGGAAGCGCTAATTGATCAGTCATTAGATTCAAGTCATTCATATGATAAAATACAAAATTACCAATTTAAAAATTATTGTATTGTATAAGTATTCAATTCCCAGTAGTCCAGAAAATAACTTTAGCCTTTTTGTTTCTATCGCATAATTTAAAAATACTTATAAAGAATGATCTTATATTGTCATGCAAGCCAACATGTATGTTGTTTGGTGGGTCTACATTATTAGAAATATACGAGTATTATTGTTTACAAGGTCATCATGCTCTGTAAAAATAACTTTAACATGTAAATAACTTCGTAATGATGTTAATAATTATTCACCTTCAAGAGAATATATGAGACATTCCCTGCAGTAATAGATATCATCTAGTGACTGAGGTGGCGGTAGTGGAAGCAATTTCAAATCAATTGTGTTAAGTGCAATCTGTAATTCAGCAAAGGAGTAGGGATATGTGAAAGCAAAAAATGTCGTCGCCTTGGTATTTTCAGATGTCCGATATTTAAAACTCAGGGTGAATGTGTTGTCATCCGTCTGAAAAAGTTAAAGATAAGTTAGTAACATAAGGATAAAAATTAAATTTAAATAATCATCCAGAAATATGTTAATCATATTATATGACTTTTCTAATAAAGACGATATAAAAAATATTTACAGTTATGACATATGAACATTTTTGGTTGATTCCATCTGCTACATAGTGGTTTTTACATAAGTCACGCTTTATTGGTTTTATTTTTACAGCGAGTTTGATACTCACTATCAACTCAGCAGTTAGAATTTCCGAGGCTATAAAATGTTACAGTAAGGTCTCAGGAGTAGGTTCTTCTAAAATGTTACTACTCAGTTTGACTGCCAATTGCAGTATAATATTTTTTTTGTTAATTTATTGCAGATAAATCAAAAATATTATAAAATACTTGTAACGACCATTTTCTCGTTATTTGATCGACCATGTCAGCACCATATTTGAATTATAAAACATTACAGTTTCAGATTTTTTCTTGACATTGCCACTGTGTATATGAACACTACCATATTATAATGTATTCAATAACAAAACATTTTTGATTCTCTTTGTTTGGTAAACGTATGGAATATCACATATGATGGACTTTCATGTTTGGTAAGATGGAATATCACATCGCGCTTTAATTATACTACATACCAAAGATATATGTATTGTAAGCATATTCCGTGCGAGAGATACAGATGTGCCTGTAGTCACATTTCTAACTTTATTCAGAAATGGTTACACTGATCATATTGTTATGAGACATATTTCCACAAAATGATTTCCATAAAACGACACCACACACTTGTCATCGCTGAGATGATCTTCCTCTAGTTTATTGTTGAACGACAGCTAAAGGTATGTTGCTATCGGGACCATCACTAGAACTTTACTCAGGAACTCGAAGAAGGTATGTGAAACAAGTTCAGTAAATAAAATTAAAGTAAATATAATTATCCTACTCACAAAAACAATTCATTCATCACTTCAATAGGTCAGATGACCCTAGCTATTGTATGAGAATGCTATTTTTATTCATGTTTGTATAAACATATTACAATATATAAAATATATAATAATTTGATAAAAGTCACAAGGTACAAAAATGTTTAATCAAATAGTGACAAAATAATCAGTGCTACAAGTTCAAATTTGGGTCAAATGACCCTGCCACCTTGCTAGTGTTAGGAATTAATTTTCATACAAAGCCCATACACAAATTAGATAGGCAGCTAAATTAGTGTTAACAAAAAGTGATGTAATTATGTTGCCTCTCCACGCAATACATTTACGCATCTTATATTGAATGCATGTAAAGATTATTATAATAGTTGTATTCATTAAGTTGTTAGTTAAAGAAATAACTGATAATTTAAAGGTCAAAAATGTTCATAAATTTTTATATTCATACCAAAAATAATAATGTTAAATGTTAGTTTCAACAAGTTGAAAGATTTCTTCTCTTTAACATAAACCAATTAAATCATCCTATTCAAAAAAACATATCATCTGTTATCTCATTAAGAATAAACAACAAAACAACACTGAATTGTGAATACATAATTAATTAAAAATGATCCCACAGCTACCTTAAACAGTAAACTAAAGTTACCAATTGTACTTACGGAATGAATTGGACGATCCTTTATTCTTTCCCACTGTGGTTTTCCAGGTAAAGTTCTTGTTACTGGTGCCATTCCTTGGTTATACATTTTGCCTTGTTTGTTTAGATTTATTAAGTTTAACCGTACCTATTATATTAAAGAATTTTTGACAACAATAAAAAATAAATATGTACACATTTACAACAATATTTCTGTAACTTTAAAATTAATAAAGTGAAAGAATGACAGTTGTTTTATTAAATCAACTAGCAAAACATCATTTTGCATCAGTTTTGCAATAGAAATATGGACCAACAACAACAAAATACTATATATAAATATATAACTTTATGCCAATTATTAATTATTTACCAGTACTCCAGGTTCACTAGCTTGGACTCCAAAATAAAACCAAGTGCGATTGCCATTTTCAAATTCGGTCCCAGCACAATCTGGCCTAGTCCACAGATTGAATTCATAATCAGGTGTTTCTGGAGCATTTGTTTTGTAGTTTACACCAGGAGCTGGAATAATATAAGTAGGAATAGAAACGAGATAGTCCGATGCATGACGATTGTGACATGCCCAAAACAGGAGAGGCGCGCGTCCGACAATTAACTGTTGCAGACAGATATACAGATGAAAAAGAATAAAACAGACATTAGTCCGACAGTAAAGTAACCTAGTAAGATTTTGGAGATTGTAAATAAATTAACATATAAACCAAAACGAATTCACTTATAACTAAAATGAATACACATATTTACTATTTAGTTGTAAAGTTACACTTAAGAAAGTGAGATAGATTCGGTTTGTGAATTATCACTGACAAACTCACCAATAAGCTCCATTGAGACTTGTTCTACATGGCCTAAATTCCCCGAGTCAAAATTATGTATAAAATAAAATCCGCACTTCTCTATTATACTTTTACTATCCATATCTGTTAATATTAACTACATTATACAAAAAGTAGCGATTGAGTCGATAAAATCACGAGACTTTTATCAACATTCACTTGAGTAATTTAAATTATGAAACATTTAATTTAACATTAACGATTGGCAATTTCTAAATGACAAAAATAAAAACTTCACTGTTTTTCTAAACAAAATTACGTAATTTTGTTGACATCGATTGACGGATAACAGCTGATTTGCTTTATTGGCGAATAAAAATCCTTTTTTATATGTAAGAATTGTAATAAATAAATTATACTTTATTGAATATTTTTAATTAAACTTAAATTATTTTTATATGCTATTAGTAAGTAATATTTTTTCGTTTAATACTTGGAATCACTATTTAATAACTTTATTATTTTCCCATTGTAAATTTGTATCCAAAATGGCTGCCAGCTGTCATCAGCTGCCATGATACCTATATGGAGGTTAGAGAACAGGAAAGAACGATCGCTGTAGAAAATAGTGTCCCAGAAATATGGACAAAATAAGTGAGGCGCTGCGATCGCTAAGTTGTCTCAATAAAAACTGGCTGTTGTGCGGTAGTTTGAAAAGATTATATCATTCAAAAAAAAAAAAGCAAAATTATTACTATTTATTAATAAATAAATTATTAATTGTGATTTTTATAATTTTAATTATTTTAAATATAAATTATTACATATATTAAATAGGTAATTAAATATGTCGGAAAGTACAACACGATAAGCCAATTGTGTGGGAAGTAACAGGATAGCGTTAATTATTAAAAATGGTAAAAGTTTGAGAACTGATGTTCAATTTGCTCTCTTGCTTGCGCAATTTATCATTATCAATAATAGGACAATGTAACGCACTATACATTCAGCATAGAGTAACGTAAAGTAAGTTTGACTATACCGCAGTACGTTCCCATCATAATTACATACCAGTGCAATGTGAAGGACAAAACTACATGATAACACCAAATTATGCAAACCAACAGCAAACTTACCCATCTCTACGTAACACAGCACAGCCTCTCAGCAACACCATCCTCTTTGTCTGCACCAGAAGAATCACCACAATGGCAGAACAAAGACTACCTTAGCACGCGTAGAATGACTTCACTCGTGAAACAACTCAAGCGGAATCTCTCGCGCTCTGCCCCTACACTAAGCTTTATACTGCACAAACGAGTGGGAGGGTTTCTTGATATACCCTCAATTTCAACTAGTCACTAGATTCAACCGGCATTTTATAGATACGCCTACAAATATTTATAAATATATAAATATTTATTATTAAATAATTATTATTGATTTATTATTAATTTTTAATAATATTTCACCATTTTATAACGTTGCTTAGTGTCAATAATTGAAAAATTACTTCGCAGATACTAGGTACTTACCGACCGTAGCGCGGCTATAAATTCTACAAATGTTCAGGAACAGGCGGGCCATGCTTTAGCACGTAGCGATCGTTCTCCTGTTCTCTAAACTCCATGCTTATACCTAAGGGATGCCGTTGTTTGTCTAAGGGATGGGCGATATACGGGATCGGGCGTTTATTTTTAACATATTGCAATATTCGATATTTTGACATTTTTTTTAATATGTCGAATGGGTTAATGTAGTCTCACTTTATTTGGTTTTGTTTGTCAATTTGGGTTTGCTACACTGGTTAATATATTGATTTAAGTGTACTACATACAATGATTTCAATATATAAGTCAATGACTACATATCTAATAATCTGTCGATTGCAGTTTTATTTTATTACGAGGATATTATTAAACTTTCGTTACGTAACGTTCGTACGTTATTAATTATTTGATTTTGTAAGCTCATTTGCTAAATACATGTCTACTGATGTGACGAATTAATGGTGTAGTTTAGTGAACATCCTATCGTTTAGATAATCGAAAGCCCAATTGAACCAACAAACAGGTAAAGACATAGTATTGTTGCGCGACACAATTAAATCCTGTTACATGGTGACACTAGTTACCACTAGCGCCTTTTAGTATCGAGTAGCAGAACTAGGACAGTCAAGATCCTTCTAGAAATTTCCATGAAAGAACTTTCTAGAAATATAGACACCTGGCCAGTCGGGACCGGTATGTACTTGAACATTCTGGATGTTTCTACAGTAGAAGGTTCTGGAATTATCTGAGGCCCTATATTAGGTCGGTATAGACCGTGACCTGAGTCAGTGTTGAATATGCAATTCAAGCGGATATTTCGAAGTTCTACAACTGTGAACTAATGTGATCAATAATACAATTGTGTTTTGTTATTCGTGAGATTTTAAGTTATAATTAGTGTTCTGTAATTAAAGTGTAAATTTTGGTAATTCACTCGACAGTTTTTAATTGTCTCGAACCCCAAGCTCGTAACAATTGGTGTTAAAAGTGGGATCAAATCTTGCCGATTTTACCTTAGTACGACACAGAGGGTACACGTACCCGAAGTCAACGCCAACAGGGGACGGACCAGAGACGATTTGGTGGTACAACGCCGTAGACGTCGGAGGGCCAGCTGCCGACCACGCAGGCCGAGCTGTCAGCGCTTCCTGCATCTGCAGCACCTGATTTAGGTGCTCTGATGATGGTGCTGCAGAAGCAGGCTCGCCAACGGCAGGAACAGGCCCGCCAATAGATGGAACCAGCCCGTCGATAGGAGGAACAGACCCGCTGACAGAATCAACAGGCCCGTGGGTTAGAAGAGCAGCTGCAGCGCTATAAGCAAGAGCAGATGCTCCTCATGAAGGACCTTCACACTACCTTCGGGAAAGAGGTAAGGGAGGGGAAGAATAGGGTTGCTGAACATGACAACCGCCTGTCAGTAACTGAAACCCGAATCGACCAAACACCAAATAGAATAATCCGGTTGACAACGTGATGGCTGTCGTGAAGAAAATACTGGGCTCCCGTGGTAGTTGCGACACCTTCGCTACGTGTATTCAAATTTTAAAGAGCCGCCGTTTGAAGGGACCTCTTCCTGATCGGCCTACAAAATCCAGTTCGAGGCTCTCATGAAAGCGAACGGTTGGAATAAAAGTCAGGCCATTACTGCTCTTATCCTAGGTCTGCACGACCAGGCCTTAACTATTCTGGAAGCTCTCGGTAAGGAAGTGACTTACGAGCAGCTCCTTGAGGTATTGGAGGTGAGATATGGCGACGCTCACCTGGAACACGTCTTTTGTGTGCAGGCCAAAAATTGCGTGCAACGTAGCAACAAAAACCTGCAGCAGTGGGCCCTTGAGGTGGAGAAGCTGGTTCGAAAAGCATACCAGTCTGTACCTGTATGCTTTTCGAACCATCTAGTGCAGATATTCATCAACGGCATCCATGAACTTGAAGTCAAAGGTGCTGTGAGGCTCGGGCATCACGAGACGCTTAAGGACACCTTCACTCACGCACTGGAGGTGGAAGCCGTGTGGCAGGATCATCGTTCCTATCGCGTCAGGGAGATTGCAGCAGCTACAGTTCGCTTAGGGCAGCTGAAAATGATGGTCCCTTTTCCCACAACCGTAGCACCTAGGGCTGTATACTTTATTGCGGTCGTGAACTGTAGCTGTTGTAACCTCCCTGACGCGATGGGAACACCACCAGTGCATGAGCCAATCAGTGGCGAAGCCTCCATAGAAGCCCAGAAGTCCGGCTTGCCTAATCAAGCTGAATCAATCAATAATATCAAGTAATAAAATAACTCCTAAACTGTTTCAAACTATTTCAAATTTCCCGCACGCTCTGTTCGACCTCGTAGCCTAGGAATACTGCTGTCATATATATAACGAGAGTTGAATTGAGCGATTGGTTGTCTCTCTTGCACGCGTGGGCTTTTTACCGGGCTTTCGAGAAGACAATCGCTCCCTTTCTAACCTGTGGCAAAATATTCTATAAAGAAATATAACTACGATTGTATAAATACCAATTAGTATGGAGATAAAAAGCGCGGTTTTTTAGTGACCATTTATTTTTTTCCTCAGAGCGGGACGCCTTTAAAATTATTATAGTTTTAACACTTTTGACTTCAGTTACACAAAGTACACCCGGTGCGGTTCTCACCGCCCAGAACATCGAACGACACAAGTTAGCCGTCAGAGCCAGTGCCCGTCACCCTCGGTTCGGACGGCTGTTAGATAACTCATCCACCTGCACTGTACATTGTCATAGGAGTCATCGTTACGCAAGTAACGATGCGGAATGAAAGGCTGAAAGGACGCGGGCCCTGAGACCTATGAAGCTATTAAAGCCATAGGCTAACTGGATTAACATCATCAGAAACCAGTTCAATTCGTTCGGGACAAGCTACAGTTTCCAGCTTAAAATCAAGAAAGAAAACTAAATTGGTAAAAGTGAAGTAAAAATAGTTAAAGTAGTGAAATTCCAAGGGGCAGTTACGAATAATTGCTGTTTTGTTTCGCCAGGGTCTACCCTATAAGTAGGTAAGTAATAAATTATACAGTCCACTAAGTTTACGATTGGCTGGACCGGGACCATTCCTTGGGGCCTGTACTCTTAGTCGTCAACCACTTTCTTTTGAGAGAGCAGTCGAGGTTCTAGGTCGAACGTCTTTTCAGGCCATGCCCACCGCGTTGATTCCCGAACCCAACGAGGTGTGGTATAGGAAAGGAGCCACTAATCGTTTGATCACTGCTGAGGGCATGAGATGAGGAACGTGACGATTCTTTTCATCTACTATTTTCCTACTCACAGTGGCGGCCCTAGCAAAACTTTTAGGTGGTGGGAGATCTCATAGTGACACCCCCCTAAATACAAAACATTATTGTTCCTATAATAAGCAGTTGCTTTTTCTTGGTTTTAAATTGTATGAGACCTACAGTGTCTGTCGCTCTTACCATAGCAGTTGTTCTGCTTATTCGCGTTCAAGAAATATTGTCCATTCCGCTCGCACTACTCTGTTGCGCTTGACAACGCCACTATTATGGAGTGTAGAAGTAAGGAGGGCCAACTCCCATAGTAGAATAGTTAAAAAGTGGCCACATGTAAG